TATCGCTATGTACCCCTCCCCAAACCCTAGTAGTCTCCAGAATGCATGCAGTCATGCATGCATGCATGCACGCATGAGAGACAGCATTCATGCATGCATGCATGCATGCGAAGCAGCACTTTCTGCGGTGACAGTTGGGGCCCTCGCAACGCGAAGGGAAACATGTGGGGCTGCATGCGTCTTACGGGCTGCTGCAGCATCAAAGCCCTCGCGCCCAGGGCCCCCACCAACACGAAAGGGGCTTCTCGATGCCGAGGGCCCCCCAGAGCCCCTGGGGCCCCCAGTGCCCCTGGGGGCCCTGGGGGCCCGGGATAGAGAGGCGAAGCGGCGCTGGAGGGCTGCAGCGAGGAGAGGGGGGCCCCTGAGCCTTTCTGGTGTTTGTATGGTTCTTAGTGAGCAACTGACGCCAGCAGCACAAACGTCGAAACATTGCTGCTGCTGATACACTTGCTGCTGCCGCAGCTGCTGCAGCTGCTGCAGCTGCTGCAGCTGCTGCAGCTGCTGCTGCGGCGCACCTGCATGCGCAGGACACTCAGAGGCTGAGATGCCTGCAGCCAGTGTATGCAGAGGAAGGGGAGCCGTGGGGGGGCCCCCGCCTGCAGCAGCACCGGGGGGCCCCCCATAGGGCATCCGCCGGATGCAGGGGCCCCACCGGGGGCCCCCCAAGGGGCCCCTCATGCGTCCAGCAGCAGCCAGAGGCCCCACTGTTTGCTGCTGCCTTCAGCCCAGCCCTCAGCCCGTGCGGTGCCTAGATGTTATTCTTTTCATTCTCCACAAACTAACCTATACACTCCAGTCTACACCTAAACCCTAAACCCTAAACCNCCTAAACCCTAAACCCTAAACCCTAAACCCTAAACCCTGCTCTTTTGGAGCATGCAAGGAATCTGAAAGCCGGTTGGAAGGCACAGACTTTGAAGAGGTGAAGAGGGTTCCGCGAGGCAGAGGGGAAGGGTTTAGGGTTTAGGGTTTAGGGTTTAGGGCCCAGGGGTTGGAGTATTGGGGTCTAGGGTTAGCTGCCTTGCTGCACAGCTGCATGCAGGACGCCTTGTGAGTTGGTGAGTTCTTGCATGGGGGCTCCCCTTGCGCCCCTTCTTTCTGCTGCTGTTGCTGCTGGCGTTGCTGCTGTTGCTGCTGATGTTGCTGCTGCTGCTGACGGATCTACGCAGGATTTACCAGCCCCAGACAGTGGCAGCTAAACTGGGTTGCTGCAGCAGCAGAGAGACGGCCTAGTCTGCATGCGTGGTAGTTGAGGCGGAGAAGACAAGCAGGGGGCCCCTGACGGGGGCCCACGATGCAGGGGAGCAGGGGGTGTTTGTTTGGAGGGTTTAGGGTTTCTGGTTTAGGGTTTAGGGCTTAAAGAAGAATGCATGTTCAGATAAATAACAATTAAAATAAAAAGAAACAAACAAACTCTAACCCGGTGAGGAAACGGAGAGGTGGGGGCCTACAGACCGAAGGCCGAAGGGCCCCAAAGGCCTCCTAGGAGGCCCCCTTGCCTTCTATGTTTGTGTGTAGTATTGGGGTGTATAATAAAGTAGATATGTTTATATGTTTATTAATATTTATTATTAAGTCTATAACTTATTAACTTGGCGTTAGGGAGCTGGGGTGTACGTACACAGAACCGCAGCAGGACAGGCAGCCAGCAAGGCCTGCAGCTGGACGCGCTGGTGCTGCTGCTGCTGCTGCTGCTGCAGCAGCAGCTGCTGCTGCTGCTGCTGCTACTGCGGCCTTGAGGCTTCTGTGCGCGATGCGTCCGTGTGTATATGATCGTTATCATTTGAAACAACAAGTGAATAGCAATTAAATGTTTAGTTGTTTTTACGAATAGAAGTACAGAAAGGAGACAGCTGAGCAGAGCTACCCTGGCTAGTGTATGTATGTTTCTCTCTCCCCAGCAGCAACGGCGGGAGCAACAGCAGAAGAGACCCTCCTGTCTATACAGCGGAGATTGCTAGCAGCTGCGAGTATTAAAGGGCAAACAGATGTTGTCTGTCTCCTTTTGTCTCTTTCTGTCTCCTTTTGTCTCCTTTGTGTTGCCTCAATAGAAGGAGGCCCGCAGCCAGAGGCCCTCCCCGTCGGTCTCTGTCCAGCGGTCTGTGCGGCAGCCACAGCCACAGCAGCAGCAGCAGCAGGAGAGGAGACAGTAGAAAGCAGGAGAAACAGAAAGGATATAAACAAAACTTGTTTCTGTTTTTGTCTCCTTTCTGTTTTCCTCTTCTTACGCCTGGGCTGTCTGCAGCCAGAGAGAGACGCACTGTCTCCGTTGGGCCTGCGGTCTCGCGGCCTCAGGTTCCTCAGCAGCAACCCATAGACGCAGCAGCAGCAGCAGCAACAGCAGCAGCAGCAGCAGCAGCCTACCAGATCCTTATCAGAAGTGATCCATACGTGCGGCAGGAGGAGGAGACCCTCAGCAGCAGCAGCAGAGCAGCAGGAGCAGCCAGAAGAGACCTTCAGCAGCGGCTGCAGCGGCAGCGGCAACAGCAGGAGAGCAGCAGAAGCAGCCGCAGCAGCAGCAACAGCACGACAGCAACAGCAGCAGCAGGAGGAGACGATGCCAGTATACGCCGAGGGCATCCGCCACGAGCGGAACTGCCCGGTGGGTGAGACAGAAGAAGCAGCAGCAGCAGTAGCAGCAGGAGCACTTTCTGAGGATGAAGGAGACAGTTCTGACGAGGAGACAATATATTCACAGCAGCAGCAGCAGCAGCAGCAGCAGGGGAGACGCAGCAGCAGCAGAGGAGCGCAGAAACTCTGCACCGAGAAACGCTGCTGCACCTGGTTTGACCTGGCCAACTGGTTTGGCTTTCTCCCCCCAGAGCTGCCCCCCGCTGACTTCGAGGCTTGCTTCACAGACGTAGCCAATGGGGGACCAGGGTAAACACACTGTCTCCTGTCTCCTTTCATGCATCGTATACTGTCTCCTTTCCCTCTTCTCTTTTTGCCTCTGTGTCTACTGTCTCCTGTCTGTCTCCTTTCCTGGATCGTATGCTGGCTCGCCTCTGCCTCTTGGGGCCCTCCACTCTCCGGCTATTTCTCTTCTGGTTGCTGCGTACTGCTTCTTTGTTGCTTAGTCTATGGTGCCCTTGTCTTCTCTGTTGTCTCTTCTGTCTGTCTCCGTTGCCTCCTCCTGTCTCCTTTGTCTCCTGGGCATCGTCCTGTCTCCTTTTCTTCACTTGTCTCCTGTTGTCTCTCCTTCATCTTCTGTATTCTGCCGCATCTCTTTTTATCGCTCGTTGTTTCGTGTACCCACTTGTCTCCTCTATTCTTTTTTTGTCTCTTTTCTTCGTGAGTTCTTTGTATGCTTTGTTGCCTGGGCCTTCTCCTCTTATGTCTCCACAGTGTCTCCACTGCGTCTGTTTGCTGTGTCTCCTCTTTATTTTCTTCTTGACTTTTTGTCTCTGGTGTGGGCCCGCCTCTCTCTCTCTCTCCGAGTTCTTTGTTAGCAGTTTTTTTTTTTGTGTTTTTCTGTGTGAGTATTGGGGCTTTATCGAGCAGCTTTAACATTATTGGGGCTTTACATGCATGCGTACCTACCTGCATGCATGCATGCATGTGCATATGTATGTTACAGGCTATACGAGAAGCTGGTGGTGTTGGGTGCGAAGACTCTAGACATAGTCTCTGAGATGCATTTCTATGAGATGTATCCCGAGGCCTCAAAGAGCCTGGGGGTCCCCTCAGACCTATATGCAGACCCAGAGGCGTTGCGTTTGTTATGGTCTCGGCGTAGAGCAGAGAGAGTTTGTGCTTTGCCTTCTCTTTTTCTCTTTGGGAAGAGTTATCTAGCAGCAGCTCAGGGGCTCCCTACTCGCCTTTCTGTTGCGAAATATGTTAAGGCTTGTGTTGGCTTCTGCTGCCAAAGCGCAGACACAGAGAACCTCTACAAGTGGATGCCAATCCTTATCGAGCACATCTTCTGGGCCCAAAAGTGCGTATGTACACTCGAAATACACAAACCCACTGTCTCCGTCTCTTCCTCTTTTTCTCCGTCTCCTCTCTCCTCGCCCTGCAATCGTTGTTTGTGTTGCAGAGGCTTGTCCCAGTCCTTTGTGCTTTTTTCTGCTTGCCTCTTTCTATATATGCTTCTTTTCTCTTGTTACGCACATGCATTTACTTTTGTTTATTGCTGCTGCTTCTACTGATGCATTTGCTGCTCTTTGACTTCATAGATTTCTGTTTGGGTGCACGCTTGGGCCCTTGCTCGTGCAGGCGTATCTGTATGTGCTTGTGTAGGTACATCTATTGCGCTTGTTGCATTTGTTTTTTTTTTTTTTGCTTGTCTCCTGACATAATGTCTCTACTTTCCTCTCTCTCTGCAGGCTAAGAACCGAACGACTCCAGGAAGACAACGCGTTGCTGCAGGACTTGCAGGAGCTCTTTGGCTACAAATGTGAGTCGCCATCATATATATTTGTATTTGTATTATACTTTCTGATATATATAATTTCATTGTATTTGTTTTCCTCATATGTTTTTGTACTTGTATGAGTTCATTGGCGCGTTGGCGTTCGCGGTTGTATTTCTATCTGTCCTTGACGTCGTTTCTCTAGAATATATTTGAGTACCTCTTTGCGTTTGTTTATATGAAATTTATTTATATGCGCGTATATGTTCGTTTATATAAAATACTTTTGCCTTTGTATTTGTATAAAAAGTTTACTTATATAAGATGTATTTGTGCCCGAATCTGGGTTTGTTTCTCTCAAGTGTATTTCTTCTTGAGCTCTGTTATATGTGTACGTTCATTTGAGTTTGTTTCTATGAAAAGTATGAACACGTCTAGTTTTATTTATATTTGAGTTAGTTCTTATGAAAAGTATTTATACTTTTGTTTGCCTGTGTTTCAGTTGATCACCTCATCCCCCGTATTCGTGAATGTATTGAGGGCGCGGCGGTGCCGCAGCGTTCAGATTGCCCCACGGGGCGAGAGTTACTGAAGTTGTATGCGACGGACTATTTTACAAGACTATCAGAGGTGTGTTTCTTTTCCAGTTTTGTTATTCATCTTTTCCTGGTTTCTTGCTTGTCTGTACAGCCCAGAACCCCTGCCGTCTGTCGCTGCTGCTCGTGTGCTTAGGAGGCAGGAGTTGAAGCTTCACGCCGAGTGGTCTGGGTTGATCAGGAGGTGCACAACTTCCTTGAGGGCCCCGCCATCCCCGTCTTTGCTGTTGCATGCACCGCCTTGGCGCCCTTCGTGCTCGCCCTGAAGGACGAGGGCCCGACGCGGGCGCAACAGTTTGTGGGCATGTTTGAGTGAGTCAGAAGAACGCAGATATATCTACCCATGTACATTGGCTAGGCGGGCTGATGGATATGAAGCAACAGATTCTCTATACACCCCACCAGACAGATACCAGGATCAGTGCCTCTGGCCGCCGTACTCAGTGTAGCTCTGTCTCTAAGCTCTAGCGTGTCTCCACCGGCAGAGACAAACATGTACGAATATCTTGTGTCTGCCTGGTGCGCTTGCAGGGCGTTACTGGCGGCCTGTTGGGTTATCTCTACAGAAGAAAAAGTCAAAATTTGGATGCCCAGCCTCATTCAGCGCCTGAGACAGGTGCGATGCAGCAGTGACATAGCCCTGGATGCAGGAATTTAGTAGTAGCGGCATGTCGGCTTATCCACAGACGAAAAAATTACACCCACTCTTTTGCTTCGGGCTGTACCTATGTGCTGCTGGTTTCTTCTTCACCCAGTAAAGCCGTGCTGCTGTAGTGTAGACTGCGCCCACGTTCGAGTTGGCTCCGCTGGCTTGCTGTGCCTGGCGGTTCCTCCTCCGTGCATGTAGTAGCTATATGCCTCTGGGCCTGTCTGTATCTTTTCTCCTGCACGGTGTGTTTCTTCTCGTGTGTACGCAGACCCAGTTGGTGTTGCATATGGCTCAAATGGGAGATAAGTATTTCATCAACAGAACGCGGCTTCAGAAGCCGGCAAAAATCCCCATAGAGCCGCGCCAGATCGCCGCCGCCAACAACGGCTTCCTCGATCCCTTCGCCCTATGGAACGTAGACCCCATGAGGCGGCCCCTAGCAGAAAGTAAGTATCCACAAAATTCTTTCTAGGCACCCTGCACACTGTATCTAAACTCCTCATCACAGGCCCTACGGGCTGCCTCTATACTCCTCGCAGGATGCCTGTACAGTGCTTAGCAGAGGCCATGCTGTCTCTATGATGCTTGGAGGCGCCACATTGGTGTCTCTTACGTGCTTATTAGCGGTCCTGTTGCAGAAACCTAGCTAAGCCATCCCCCCTTGCTTGCTGCAGCGGTCTGTGTATGCGCTTTGAAGAGGCTCAACGGGTGCATCCTCTGCACGCGTCTCCTCGCAGAGTTCAAGGGACCCCCATCCTTTGAGGTGGCATCTGCAGTCTCTGTTTAGAACTGCATGGGCATTGCCTTGGGAGGTTCTTGGGGTCCACCTGGCTTGTTAAGTATGCATGCGATTGTGTGCAGCCCCAGTGGAGTACCCTGGACCCCCGCTGTACTACCCCGGGCCCCGCGGGTCGACGCTTGAGGCAGTTTGCCCTCCCTGCTGCCTTTTGCCGCCTTCTCGACCTCCTCCTCGCCCCATACCTGGGAGACCAAGCAAGAAGAATGTCACGCTGTTTGACTCTGAAGAGAATAGATACGAGCTGTACCCCCTGGGACCCCAGGTGTTTCCGCTCCACCGAAGACGCCAGAACCTGCATCTCTGTACGCACAACCCAGACTCCCCGGACCCTGGCTGCAGCAGCAGAGAGACTATGTTGCTGCTTATGCAGATGCACCGGCCTGAGTAAAGCGCCAAAATGCTGTACCTTGTGCTTCATGACATTTCCTGTTGCAGCAAACAACAACACAAGAGATGGCCGTTCCGTCCGAAGCTGCTGCTCGGGGCCCCCCTCCGGCACTGCAGTCTTCTCGGGGGGCCCCCAAGACAAGTGGGCGCATGTGCCGCAGCGCGCTGTTGACGTTTCCATTCAAACTGCTGCACAGCTACGGCCCCCAGCAGCAGGAGGACAAGATGCCTTTGCTCCAACCTGTAAGCGCTCTTCTTCTCTTATGGGGCTCAGATGCAGAGGGACGGCTAGGGGGGAGGAGAGAAACCTCGCCTGTCCGTTCGTGACTCGTGACTTCCCTCGTTCGTCAGACCGTTCCACTGCCAGCCAGTTAGCTACCTATCTAGCTAGCTAGCTAGCCAGATTCATCGGGGACCTCCATCCGCTAATAGTGTTTTGCATGTCATCTGGGAAAACCAGCTGGAAGTGTCTTCTGGCGTTTCAGTATGCATGCTGAACTGACTCGTTGTTTCCTTGGGAGTATTTTGTGCTGTTCTTGTTGAGTCGAGGGGCCAGTTCCCTGTGTCTTCCTCTGTTTGCATGCTTGGTTGTGCTGCCTTTTCTCCTCGTGTACCTGCAATAGCGGGCCTCCATCACTGGACGCACTCCGTAGAAAGTGACCTTTGTGCTGGAGAGGGCGTTTGCTTTGCGTTTGTGCAGGGACACGGGAATCCGGGAGGCCCTCGGGGACCCCCGGGGGGAACCCGACAGCTGGGGGCCCCTTGCCACCAGGCGCCCCCCAAGCACCGTGTGCGCCTACCTCTCGGGCCCCGGCGCCATTCAGCGGGAGTGAGGAGCCCAGAGTAAAGATTCGTTATGTAACTGATGACAGCGGGGCAGATAACGCGCAGAAGAACACCGTTGAGGTGTACATAGACGACGTGCTTGTGCATGAGCAAGCGCTGCCTTCTGAACAAGACCTCGCGTGCACCGAGTTCAAAGCGGGTAAGACGAACACATGCAACTTTGAGAGTCATAAGAGGATATGCAGACAGTCTCATGTTTTGTCTTGTGTCCCCCTTAGCAATCCTCTCTGTTATTATTATTTATTATTATCCCTACCTTCTCGGTGACACTGGCTGTCTCGTGTCTCATTTGAGCGTCGTCCGTCGGGCTACAGTACATGGCGTGTCTGCGCTTCTGCCGGTTGTGTTGTTGCAGTTCTGTCAACTCCTAATGGTCTTCCTGTGGTGCTGAACTTCGCGCGAAACGGAGAAGACGGAAAGCCGACGGTGTACATAACAGACGGGCGGTCTGCCGCCCGGGACACTGCGGGAACCCTTCTTGTTGAAAGCCCCCCCTTGCCTGCGCGGGGGGCCTCTCTTAAGGATATACATGCAGAAGCTGCAGCAGCAGGAGCCCCGGCACAGAGCGCAGGCTGCTGCTTCACGGCAACCTGCGGCCCCAGACGCCCCCATCCATCCTTTGGGGGAGCAGCAGCAGCAGATAGGGGGGCCCCTGTGGACATTGTAGTTAGTCCCGCTTACCCTTTACAAGCAGACAGAAGAAGCAAATACGTCGTTGAAACCCAGGATGTAGAGGCTCCAGCTGACGCCTGCATCTTCGGCAATTACCTCAAGGGCTGCATGGCCTCTCCTGCCCCTCGCACCCCGCAACCCTCATGGGAGCAAGTGAGAGAAACCTCATACACCCTACACCCTTACATACATAAAGAGCTGGGGACACTTTAAATAGTTGGTTTGTTCGCTTGCAGCACCTGGCCTCCGTAGCACTTCGTAGTGTACGTCCAAGGTGGACATACACAGAAAAGACGGGGTGGAGGAGGAGGAAGAAAGAGAAAGAATGTCGAGGTTTGTGGTTTTCTTTTTCCTGTGCATGCAGATGCAGCAGCAAGTACGCGTGCCTGCCCCTCAGGTGTATACTGTGCCCCGTATTCGGGCCTACACGGCTCGTGGGGGCGGCCAGCGCTGAGCCTGTGCATAAGTAGGGGAGCTTCTGAGGCGTATGCACACCTCGACGGCAGGGGAATGAGACTTGAGCAGTGCCAAGTCCGAGGCTCACTGATCTCTCTGAACTGCAGCAGCGCAACGTTAGCGTTGTAGGCGTTGACACACAGGGACGAAAGGGGAGGAAAGAGGCATAAGGGTTTCTCTAAGGCGGTGTCTGCATCTACAATTCTTAACTCCTTTCACTTGCCCCTTCAGAATTGATGGAGACCCGCAAGAAACGTTGGCCATCCCTGGCGACACAGGTGCTAGATAAACGGATTCCCTGAGGCTCCCGACACGCTGCAGTAGCAGGAGGTGTCTTTTGCCGCCTCCCCCTTGATGTACATATATATATATATATATATATATATATATATATATATATATATATATATATATATATATATATGTATATATATGGATCACAAACTGTGGTCGGCTGGAGGCGCATGCAGCCCATTAGGCACTGTAGAATGCCTTATGCGTTGCATATATGGATCCTTCTGAACTAGTTGCGCTGACGTCCCCCTTGAAGTTAGGGGACAGCCTTTTAAACTGTCAGCGTAGGATGAGCTGGGTGCAACAAAAACAATACCTCTTTTTTATACTGCTGTGGCAGTACCCGTTAGTTTCATGCATGCGAAGGCGGCCATTGGGTTTAGGGTTTAGGGTTTTGGGTTTAGGAGAACCGAAACAACAGCTGTTCATACTGCGCGAAGAAGATAGTTGATTTGCAACTAAGACAACAGTTCAGCTGTCCGTATGATCAAGAATACGAAGCTCGATGTGTTGAGAAGACAGCAGAGCTCTCTTTGCTCCTAAAATTTAGGGAACAATTGTCACTAGACCACTGTAGGTGCCCATGTGCCGCTGCGTTCACCCCGGAAATGTAAGGCTGTGCCCCTTGACTGAGATAGACATTCAAGCCAGTATGACAGTAGACACGTGTAAACACACTTGGAATGCTTCCGCTTGTATGCAAACAATACAGGCTCATGTCGACAGCAATCAAGCTGGACCCGCACATCTCCCGAATGTCCGATCGAGTAAAAGAGGACAAATTTCTAATAATTAAGTGGAGAAGGCGGACGAGAACTCGGATGTATGGTATTCTGCCTCGCCTATCTTGTACGCTTGCGCTATCATAGACTGCGGGGCTCCCCTTCTGGAGTCTAAAGTTATTAGTCAGGCAATACAACTGTGCATGTTGCCATAAGTAATACTATCATTAGGGCCTTCAATGTATTAAGCCATTTACACGTTGTGTGTTCATGCATGTGAGCGCGAAAGTAGAAGCAAACAGGCGAATGTGCATTTTTTCAAAGATCGGTAGCCCAAAGCTGTGAAGAGATGCGAAAACAAACGGCGAAAATGCATTGTTGCACCTACCCTAAACCCTAGGCCCCAAGTATACAGGGGAAAGGGGCAAATATTCCTTAAATAAATAATTTTCCGGTTGCTGCTTGACCGCTGCAAGAGCAGAATACTGCCAGCGTAATACAGGCTATAGTGTGTTCGTTGAATCGTCTCGACGCATTGGGTCGGCTATGATACAAGTGCCACACAAGTTATGAGTTAAAGCGGCAAAGCGGAGCTCTGTTTATTACGCTTTGTATTCTGTTACTCCTGTTCTAGAGAAAACGTCATAAGGCGAATAGGCAAAGTAGTGGTGAGCTGACGGATGGGTGGGAGAGCCACGACGTGATGTGCCCAACACTGCGCACACTGCATCGGGCGCACTCACGTCTACGGAATGCCAGTTTATCTCAGGCAAAATGGATACATATGCAATAATTGAATACGAACGAATTAAATTTATTTGCCTGGTTCCAGATGACTAGTCAGGAAGAGCACACAGCTCGCTGGGCTTCGAGCATCCCGACCGCTGGTCACCGGCGCGCACGGCTTGTCGCTGCCTAGCTGCCGCGCATCAGCTAGGTCAGCCGAAGCAGAAACAGCAACAGTGCTTACGGCAAACAAAATCTTCTTCAAAAACGAATCGCCCAAACCATCGACTTTGATATTATCGTTAAAACCCCCACGGAAAATGAGCAGAGAAGGTCGAGGAATATGGGTGACTCCCCCAGGGAACAGGCCAGTGACCCCCGAGAGACCGGTGCGGAGGGAAGGGTGCGTACTCTTTAGAGACGGATTATGCGCACTGGGGAACTACTGCATGTTTAGCCACTCTCCCTCGGAGATTCCGCCTCGTGTTGCAGCAGGCGGGGGGGCCCAAAGCCGCTCGGCTAGGCTGGCCGAAGAACGACAGAGGCAGCGGCAGCAGCAGATGCAGCAGCAGTATCAAAGGCAGATGCAGCAACAGCGGCTGATGCAGCAGCAGTATTTAATGCAGCTGCAGCGACAGCAGCAGATGGAGCAGCATCGTCGGAACCGGCGACAACTGGAGTCGGATATGTCCCGCGACGCTTTCTTTAATTCTCTCCAGACCTATAACAGTCCCAGGGACTTCTCGTCAGAGTGGCCGCTGGCGTCGCCTGACGTGCTCCGAGCAGCTGGACCCTCTGTCGCCGAATTCGCCGACTTCAATGAGTATGACTTTCCGCCTGAGTTCGAGATCGACTCTTCCGATGACTCCGACGACGAAAACACCTACAACCCTCGGATTGACCGCCTCCGTAGACTTGAAGAACTCCGAGCGGCCAGTGCGGAGCGACGTGAAAACTCCACGACTTCCCAGCAGCCTCAGGCCACTTGGGGACCTCAGACCCACCTCTGGTCTCAAACGCCGCCTCCCACTCCACCAACTTCCCGTGAACCAGAGGCACCAGAGTCTGCAGAAGTTCCACAAGTCCCACACACCGCAGAGGCCCCACATGTGCCACAGGCCAGAGGGGCCCCGCAGGTACCACCGGCTCAGGCCCCACCGGTTCCGCAGGCTCCAGAGGCCCCTGAAACTCCCCCTGCTCCACTACCGCGGCAGGTTCCACTGGCTCCACAGGCGATACAGGCCCCACAGCCTCCGCGGGTGCCACTGGCCCCACTGCCGCCGCAGGCGCCAACTCCACGTAGTGACGCGGACCCGCTGTATACTCCGGAGTTTTTGCTGGGATCTGTGTTCACCGCGACAATGCGAATGAGAGAAAAAAAAGATCCTCCACCCCGCTAATGGCGTTGGCAAAACTCGTCTACCAGTTCCGAGAAGGGGAAATGCAAGCGAGCAGCCCGTGAGAAGCCCTGCTGCTGCTTCTGCAAGAGCAAACAACGGCCTGGGCTGGCCGTTGTTTGCTCTTGCAGAAGCAGCAGCAACAGAAACGGAGGAGCTGCAGCACCGCAGCTTGCGATAAGCCGGGATAATAGACGCAGATAGCGACAGAAAAACATATTCGAATCACCACCACAGAAAGAAACAGACCAACATGCAGCCTAACGTTTAAGTATTTTACCAGCACATTGTAGTGCTGCATCTGCTGTGGCTGCTGCAGCTTCTGCTGCTGCTGCTGCTGCTGCAAATGCTGCAGCAGCTGCAGCAGCTAATGCTGCAGCTGCCGTTGCATAGGCATTTTTTTGGTCCTTATTCGCCTCAGCTTTTAGCCTGCAGCCAGATAATGGCAGCAAAAAGGCAACGCAACAAAAAATTTAAATGTTTTAGAAAAAGGCTGTGCAGTGAACTCTATACACAGCACTCCACTCGTTGACCCATCCCGCAACAATGCAGCGTTAATGTGGGCCCTCTGCCCCTAAACATTTCAACATCTAGGCGATAGGCATTACAAGTGCACATCATATACAGCTTGCTACTGTTAGTGAAGATAAGACAACGCGCGACAAAAGCTCTGAAAGAGTTCCAGGCATATCACTGGTGTTTCCTCCCCAGGTGCTGCTGAGCTTCGCTGCCTTCTGCCTAAGAAAGAGTCATATGCATAGTACTATACGTATAGGTACGTATATCTTTTCTTTTCTGTCTGGCATGCACTCAGACATCTAAACCATATTAAGCCCTAATAAATCGTACCAAACCCCAGTACACCATTGTCAACATTACCAAGCCACAAGCGATATACCCAGCCCACGTGTCCAAATCCGCTCTCGAAGGGGAGTCATCGCTGTATAATTAGAAGGGCTTCGCAGTCCTGGCCATTGGTTCCAAGTGGTCTGTCGGAATCGTGACAGGCAGATCACTGAGCAGGGATATTGATAGACTGTAGGCTGAACTGGAAAATAGAAAACAACTTCATCTGCTCGTCGAGCAAGTGGAGACAAGCCTTTCTGCCAACTAGCGCATGCTGGGGTGCCTCGACCTCTGTCTCGGGCGGTCGCACGACACTTCCTTGAAACAGCGAATTATTAGCTTCGTTGTACCAACGGGCCCGAAGAATCAAGTCGAAAAATATTTAATTCCATGATCAAGTAGGCAAAGGGTAGAAGGGATGTGCGGATGGAGGCCTTCACTACGATTTGTCCAGCACGCCATCAGTTCGTGCATATACACTTTGCGTGGGTCCCTGGGGCCTTGTAAACACCTTCGACCTCGAACTATTGTATTGTAACAAAGAATGTCGCAGCGAAGAGGACCTTGAGCGGAAGATCCACAAAATCTGAGTGTCTGCACACTCATGAGTACGTCATGTTCTCAAGTTCAATAAGCGTCTGTGGAAGTGATCGAGACAAGCCCCATCTGGTGGGAAACACCTGCGGCGGGGGTGACGCAAACGCGGCCTCGAACGGGCGGCATAACAAACACTTTTCAACGAACGCCCCACTTTCTTTTTAAATTACTTTTTGTCGACCTTTTGACAGCTGATGCAGCAGTTCCGATCTTCAGCCTGAGGAACACAACTTTTGCCTCTACCAGGCTTCTCGTCGAGTGGAGTGCCTTGTTCTCCAGTGGTAGTTGGGCTGCCGTGTGTGCAAATCCAGATCGCCACAGCCGATCTTCGATATAATTTTCACCAGAAGTGTTGGGGCATGCTTCAGACTGAGGTACCTGAATTAGGAGGCTGTGCAGGAGTTTGCAGCTTCCTTGCTTTAGCGGGTTGAAGATGGTTGGTGGGGTTGTTGTCCTTGTTATGGAGGTAGTTGGTCCTCTTTCTGTGCAGATTTAGATCTCCACATCCCACCTTCAATACGATGTTTTTCACCAATGTTGGGGGCATGATTCAAACCAGCGTACCTGGATTAGGGGGTTATGCAGGTGTTTGCGGTGACCGTGCTTAGGCGGGTTGAATTCGCGGTGGGGGGGTTCGTGGACGAGCCTCTCCGCCTTGAGACTTTATTACCAGCACCACATTTCAGGCTCCCTTCACACCAATGCATATAGGCTGTTCAGCGAAAGCTCCATTACTTTTTAAATGAACCGCGGCTGAACTTCTGCAACTGACGCAGCAGCTCGGATGATCAGAGTTTCAGTGTTTCTTCTCAATCAATTCCACTCGTCGAGACTTTCCGCCTCTGTCAAGGTAGTTGGGCCGCGGTATGTTTTGATTTAGACCGCTGTCTCCCACCTTCAACATGGCTTTTGGCATCAGTGTTCGTGCGCGCTTCCGACGAACATACCTGAATAAGGAGACTGAACAGGCGCCTGCGGTGACCTTGAAAGGGTTGAAGATGGTGCGTGGGGTTATTTGTCACGTTCACCGGCCTTGGAATTCGATTCTCGGCGTCATGTTTCCGCCATGATTCAGACCATGGAAGCTTGTTTATTTGGCTTTCCCGAAGCTTGCCATGGCTCTGCATCCGTAGGCGCGTTTTGCGGGCAACTTGTTTCCTGTGATGATACACCATGAATAATTAACTTTCCAAGGCATTTCGAGCTTCAACGGACGGGGCAGGTGAGAAGCAAGCACGAGGCGTGCATGGGTTGAAGTGCGAAACCCAGAGACATTCGGCTAGTTGTGACAAAAAAGCAGGTGATCGGCAGCCCA